ACTCAGTATTTTCTTTGTTTCTCGACCAAATTGTTCTCTTTCCCTTCTTCCTGGGAATTTTTGTTCCTGGACGTGTTTCAACAGCGGCTGTAAGCCACTATCCGTTCTCTGGGCATCTCTTATCTCTTTGTGATTAAGGCAATTAAAATCACTAATGTCCATATGTCCGGGCTCTGTGGAAATGTGCTCCACCCCGGTCTGTCCGTTTTGCATCACTAGCCTTTCTTTGTCTATCATTTCTTCTAGTTTGCCAACACTGTTCTGTTGTCTAATATTTTTATTTACTTCTTCCGATAACAGACACTTTAAAGATGAACATTTCTCCTGTGCTTTTGATTTGCATGAACTTTTCCTATCCAGTTTCCTGGTTAGACTTTGAATTCCTTTATTAAGTCTACCAATTTTCTGCTTATCATCATTTTTCTCTACCAACAAATTGTTCACTTGCACCCCGTGAGGGATATCTGTTGACGCTCTGACCTCACATATTCCTGTCAGCGTTTCTTCCTCATCGCCCGGTCTCTCGTAAGGATTCCTTGATAACGCGTCAGCATTACCATTGGACTGCCCTGGGCGATATTTTCTCTCCAGGTCAAAGAGTGCCAATTCTGCTGCCCATCGCTGTTCGATGGATCCCAGCCTTGCTGTGATTTGAAGTTCTTTTTCGATATCTGATAATTTCTCTTCAAGTCTTGTTTGAGACTCTTTCATTGTTTGTCCCATTTTGTTTCTTAAGCCATAACCTCGCCTCTCTGTAGCCTTGCCTTGCCTTACAGAGGGCGATCGTTTCACCGGACAGTATTGTGCCATATGTCCGGGTTGTGAGCGGGACAGGCAAATTGGTCGACCATCGGCCGTCCACCGGAGCGATGGACCGGCGGGTCGCGGCCGTCCAACCTGTCTCTGTTTTGGCCCGTTCTTTTCCTGATTCTCAGCTGTTGACCTGCTTTCCAAACTCTCCAATCGTTGGTCAACCTTATCCAGGTGAGCCAACAGTTGAGCCATCATGGTTTCCACCGTGCCGGTCCCTGTGGGTGGGGATTGTTGCTGTTCCGGCACAGAGACTTTGTCTACCGAACAGTTCGATTGGTCCTCATCCTCGGACCTGCGGATCGCTGAGTTCCTGACCTGAAGGAAGGTCAACTGCGGGTCTTTGTGGACCTCCTCTTTCAACTCTCTCCTTAAGATCGGGGTTGCTAGCCCCTCGATGAACTGGTCCCTCAGTAGGCGTACATCAATGTCAGGTGTTTTGCCCTTTACCGAATCAAAGGCCCTGTTTATTCGGTGTGAATACTCCATCACACTCTCCGCCATTCTCTGCTTTATACCTACAAACACCGACAGCAGTTGCGATCCCGACCGTCTCTCCCCAAAGGTCTCCATAATTAGATCCAGCACCTTATCTGGATCTGATTGGATGGTTTTATCGTGGCATTTGACCTCTGCCCTGACAGTCTCTCCTATACTTCCCATCAGCAGTCTTAATCTTTCCTCTGGTGACATGTATCTTGAGGCCCAGGCAGCCCTGACCTCTTCACTGAACCTGTTGGTTAAAGTTGGATTACCGTCCCCGTAAAATTTGTTGATGTGGGACTCACTGGGCAGGACCACAATATGGATCGGCTTTTTGTCCAAATTTTGTCCTGGTCCCTCTGGAGGCAAAGGGTCATCTTCACCGTTGCCTATCTCTGGGCTTTCTTCATCTGGCTCAGATTGTTGGGCCAGCAGGAGTCTCTGTCCCTTTCCGATATCTAAAATACCACTCCCGCGTCTGCCCCTCACACCAAGGAAAAATGTTGCAGCTATGCAGCAGATAGTGTTGCCCAAAAGGGAGATCATGACACATTTCCAGTGTCTAAGGGTTACATCTATCTCTTGGTTGTCATCTTTGCCTAGTATTTGTCCAACAACCCAGTTGGAGATACCAATGCCAATTATCTGGATGCTGGTGGTCAGCCCCATAGCTGTCCCCAGGGTAGTTGGTGCTACAACTAGGGGTATACTGAGCCACATGCTTGCAGCAGCAAAAGAGCATGTGACACCAAGCCAGAATGATAATGAAAGGTGTCTCATCTCTGTTCTTTTCAATTTCCTCAATTCTGATTTCAGTCTTCCCTTTTATTTATTCCCTTCAAATAAAAAAGACATTTCTTACCGTGTGTGTATGAAAAAATTTTCCTCGTTCCTCAATTTTCACTGTCCCTGAATGTTCGAATTCACACACACACAAAACACAGTTATGAACTAGGTTGACTATGGGTGCCTAACGCGGCAAGTCTCGTTGAATTCATCCTGTCCGACGACGCCAATTGTAACGAGCGAACAGTTACCCTGCTCGCAACGCCACATGTTACGAGATTATTTGCCTGTAGTGCCAAATGTAACGAGTTTAACCACTCATTCTACACAACATCGACCACAGTAGAAATACTCGAAGATGCAGGTTCGCTATTGATCCTTTTATTACATGAATCAAGAAATGCTTCAAAATAACACAATGAATCAACAGGAATGCTTCACAATAATAGTCTGAATCAACTGACCCCTAACAGTCCTCACTAGGCTTCATATAACTGAATCCACATGTCTATCGTCCTTCTTAACCCAAGACGGCTAACCCGTTCTATAACCAACTGTCACACAGACTGACTGATCTAAAGCGAGCGATCGAAAGAGAGCGAGCTCCGCCGTCCCCTCCTATTTATCCCTTGTATTCGTACTCGTATTCGTACTTGTATTCATCCGTAATCGATATTTGTAATCGATGTCTCCGACTACTAGTTGCGCAGTTCTAACGTACAGCCCGATTAATAAAACATCTGCATCCTATCACTCAAAGTTGACAGGCCGTCTGAATCCCCTCGTACCGTTTCCCAAAATAGCACGCGTTGGCTTTGAGATTGTTATCAGTCCGATTTAATAAGCCACCTGCTATCAGTTGCATCAGACTGTAATACTGCGTCGCGGCTTATCGTTCGTTATCAGTTGCATCAGATTGTAACTAGTAGTTAGGCCTACCCTAGTTACATATATATATATAATATATCTATCTATCTATATATATATAATATATCTATCTATATATCTATCTATCTATCTATCTATCTCTCTCTCTCTCTCTCTCTCTCTATATATATATATATATATATATATATATATATATATATATATATATATATATATATATATATATATATAGGGGCCCAAAAAAATTCTGCGGGGGGGGGGCCTTTTTTCTAGTTCCGCCACTGATACACATGACATGTTGTTGTGATTAGATTTAATTGAATTTTTTTTTTCAAAACCCGATCAGGCCAGAAATGAGTATCCTATGTTTGTATTGTGTGTTAATATATATATATATATATATATATATATATATATATATATATATATATATATATATATATATATATATATATATATATACATATATATATATATATATATATATACATATATATATATATATATATATATATATATATATATATATATATATATATATATATATATATATATATATATATATATATATATATATATATATATATATATATATATATATATATATATATATACATATATGGGGGGCCCAAAAAACTTTTTGCGGGGTGGCCCATTTTTTCTAGTTCCGCCACTGCGACAAGTGCATCACTCATGATATCACTATCCTGACCAAGTGCATGACTCATGATATCACTATCCTGACCAAGTGCATGACTCATGATTTCACTATCCTGACCAAGTGCATGACTCATGATATCACTATCCTGACCAAGTGCATGACTCATGATATCACTATCCTGACCAAGTGCATGACTCATGATATCACTATCCTGACCAAGTGCATGACTCATGATATCACTATCCTGACCAAGTGCATGACTCATGATATCACTATCCTGACCAAGTGCATGACTCGTGACGTCACTATCCTGACTGGTCACGTGTCACGTTCATGTCATAGCTTGGTGCACCCGCCGTGCACTTACCTCATATTGCACGTACATGGCGTGCATACTTTGCAAATCTCATTTTGTTATCGGCCATTTTTTTCTTTTCGGGAGCCTTTTTGTCATAGGCCAAATGGTCGGGAATCTTATTAACGGGTTGGACTGAAATTACTGTTTTTACTCACCCGGCACCCGCAAGTGGGTTTATGGCAAATGTTGTAACTATTTAGACTGATACAACTTCCCCGATACATCATTTTGTCTCCAAAAACAACGCTATAATAACAAGTTTTTAATCTAATACGATATCAAATTAGTAACTAATAAAGCAGTAGTTATCTCCCCTAAACTTTCTCGAATATTCTTAGATGGTAACTCCAGTGCAGTCGGGATATATCTAGACATTTTTTAAAATAAATTTTCAAATACTTAATTTGTACTTTCTCGTATACGAAGTAGGCCTATAGAGGAAGTATTATAATCGTGCAAAAAATCGAAACCGAGATTTTCACAAATCTCGCCGTTTTACACCTCCCCGAGTCGGAAAAACAAAGTTTTCCAAATGTGTCCGTTTGTATGTGTGTGTATGTGTGTGTATATGCCTGTGAACACGATAATTTGAGTACCGTTACAGCTAGGTTGATAAAATTTCATATATAAATATTGTATCAAATTTGTCGTTCTGACCAGTTCATAAGTTTTGTTCTGACCAGTTCATAAGTTTTGTTCTGACCAGTTCATAAGTTTTGTTCTGACCAGTTCATAAGTTTTGTTCTGCATTCGTTGCTGGGGGCTTGAGTTGTATTTATGTGACTATTTTAGTGGAAAACTACTTCCTCTGTACGCACCTGATGGTACAATTTTATTTGTAACATGTGATTGTTCTCAAACTAAGATATAAAGTCCATTTTGTTGGGGGGGGGGGGGGTAGACTTTCTTCGGGGAGGGAGGACACAGAAGAAAGTCTGTAGTGGCTTTGCACATTGTATAAAAGGACTTGTCTCATAACTTTGTTGTTTTTATGTGCCAAGTTTAGTGGAAAAGAATTTCCTTTGCACGCACCTAATGGTAGGATTTTATTTTTAACATGTATTTGTTCTCAAACCATGTTGCTGAAAATGTGTTTTTCCCCCAATTTTTTCAGCATCTGTTACCAGAAACAATGTACTACTACATGGCTGTGAGCAATGAGAGCTATTCAAGAATCTTTTACTTCCAGACACCACCTGCAGGCAATGTAGGAAATCCTAGATACATTCCAATATTTCTCTGACATGACCTCTGAACCTTTTGTTTGAAATCTTGATACAGTCCAATATTTCTCTGACATGACCTCTGATGTTTTTGTTTGAAATCTTGATACAGTCCAATATATTTCTCTGACATGACCTCTGATGTTTTTGTTTGAAATCTTGATACAGTCCAATATTTCTCTGACATGACCTCTGATGTTTTTGTTTGAAATCTTGATACAGTCCAATATTTCTCTGACATGACCTCTGATGTTTTTGTTTGAAATCTTGATACAGTCCAATATTTCTCTTACATGACCTCCGATGTTTTTATAAAAACTTTCAGAAATGGTCTCCTGACTTTTTGATGTTTGGAGATTTAGGCATCCACTCCAACACCACCCCATCCCTGATCAACGAAGCTTTTTCTGGCAACTACACAGCTCTCTTTCATGTGGGGGACTTTGCTTACGACTTGCATCATCAGAATGGTTTGGTGAATACCTTTTTAAATTCATTCATGACTTACCTAAAGTAAGTTTTATGGACGCTCAGAATGGTTTGGTGAATACATTGGTGCCCGAGTTAACATTTGTGTACTTTTTTCTTGGTGCCTTGCTTATGTTTCTCAGGTGAACTGTTATTTTTTTTTAACCTTAACCAGCTATATTTTTGTTTATCTAAGAGAATATTTTTAAATGCGTTTTCTTGGACCCCAAAGCAAAAGATCTAATGACGTAAGTTTGAACTCGCAGGTTGGTGACTACTTCATGGAGCTGATAGAACCTGTGGCGGCCTTCATCCCTTACATGACGTGTCCAGGAAACCACGGTAAAACCACTTTACAATCAACCGTTTACACACAGTATAAATCTTCTTTACTCTTAATCATTTACACAATATAAATCTACTTTACTTCACTCATCTTCATCTACACAGCATAATTTACACAATTACACACTGCCAACAAATGGACTAGACCCACATTTGTCAGTATGGAGTAGACCCACGTTTGTCAGTATGTACTAGACCCATGTTTGTTAGTATGGACTAGACCCATGTGGGTCAGTTTGTACTAAACCCATGTGGGTCAGTATGGACTAGACCCATGTTTGTCAGTTTGTACTAAACCCACGTGGGTCAGTTTGTACTAGACCCATGTGGGTCAGTATGGACTAGACCCATGTGGGTCAGTATGGGCTAGACCCATGTGGGTCAGTATGGGCTAGACCCATGTGGGTCAGTATGGACAGAGTGCCTATCAGCCTTGACCTTTCTCCAGAAAGTGAGAGAGAAAGTTTCGAACACTACAGACACCGTTTTTCCATGCCGGGCTCGGACTGGCCAACTCCCGTACATAAGATGTGGTACAGCATTGACATCGGCCCTGTGCACTTTGTCAGGTCAGTGGTACAGCATTGACATTGTGTCAGGTCAGTGGTACAACATTGACATCGGCCCTGTACACTTTGTCAGGTCAGTGGTATAGTATTGACATCGGCCCTGTACACTTTGTCAGGTCAGTGATTGACATCGTGTCAGGTCAGTGGTACAACATTGACATCGGCCCTGTGCACTTTGTCAGGTCAGTGGTACAGCATTGACATCGTGTCAGGTCAGTGGTACAACATTGACATCGGCCCTGTACACTTTGTCAGGTCAGTGGTACAACATTGACATCGTGTCAGGTCAGTGGTACAACATTGACATCGGCCATGTGCACTTTGTCAGGTCAGTGGTACAACATTGACATCGGCCCTGTGCACTTTGTCAGGTCAGTGGTACAGCATTGACATCGGCCCTGTGCACTTTGTCAGGTCAGTGGTACAACATTGACATCGTGTCAGGTCAGTGGTACAGCATTGACATCGGCCCTGTGCACTTTGTCAGGTCAGTGGTACAGCATTGACATCGGCCCTGTGCACTTTGTCAGGTCAGTGGTACTGTACTGACATCTGTCATACATGTTTTCAGGTCAGTCTCAGGAAACATAATTTCATTAGGGTGTTCTTTATTATCTTCCAAATGTTGATATTATAACGGGCTATCTCCTCATTTTGATATTATAACATGCAATTTATAGTTTTCATATTTTAATTGTGATTTTGAAACGGGGCAACCCCTCATTTTAATATTTTAGGGAAACTCCTAATTTTGATATTCCTGGGAAACTCCGTATTTTGATGTTAACGGGGCATTTGGGCAATTCCTATTTCCTTTTTATGAAAAAATATCTGAAATTTTACGAAAATTTGAAGATTTCGTGATACAAAATCACGACAGCATTTTTTAAACATTTCGTTCACACTCACATAAACTTGTCAAATAACATAATTTTTAATATTAACCTCAGTAAGGATTGCTATAGGCCTAGGCCCTAGACCTTTAAAAACGGATAAAATAACCATGGTTGTGTTTAGTAAATTAGAAGTTTTGAGCATTTGTTTTTTACCCTTCCCCCCTCCCAATACAGTTGTTAGTATTGAATCAGATCATGCTACTACGCCCCAACACCCGATTTAGATCATGTTACCACGCCAACCTCACCACCACCCCACCAAAAAAAAAAACCCATTATAATTGTAGCTTGTAATAATGCTAACATTATCACTTTGAATGCAGTTATTCATCGGAGGTGTTTTTTGCAAGCTCGGGTAGAAATGCTGAGCTCCAGAAACGGTGGCTGGTGAACAACCTGCGGGGAGTGAACCGTGAGCGGACGCCGTGGGTGATAGCGTTTGGCCACAGGCCCATGTACTGCAGTGGTAGCCGCGGGTCTGACTGCGCGTATCCAAACTCCAGAGTGAGAAGAGGGTTAGTCTAATTACCTTCACATGAATAGGGTTAGTCTAATTACCTTCACATGAATAGGGTTAGTCTAATTACCTTCACACGAAGAGGGTTAGTCTAATTACCTTTACATGAAGAGGGTTAGTGTAATCACCTTCACATGAAGTGGGTTAGTGTAATTACCTTCACATGAAGAGGGTTAGTGTAATTACCTTCACATGAAGTGGAATGGTCTAATTACCTTCACATGAAGATGGTAAGTGTAATTACCTTCACATGAAGATGGTAAGTGTAATTACCTTCGCATGAAGTGGGTTATTGTAATTACCTTCACATGAAGAGGGTTGGTGTAATTACCTTCAAATAAAGAGAGTTAGTGTTCATTGTGTCTATTTTAATTTTAATTTGGCATATCTTCATCAGAAGTGGGTTGGTGTTTAATCGTGGATGGAATTTTA